TTTTTTTTTTTAGAGAATCGTGGAATGTGTTTGCAGTCCGTTATCTTGTTTCTCATGCACTAAACATAGCATTCTTAACAGATTCACAGCAGTGCTGGAGGAAGTGACTTGAAGTTAAGAGTCTCACTGGATAATCTTCTGGAAGCTGAGCGTGTTGGCCGTTGGTGGATTGTAGGATCTTCCTGGAGTGGAGCACCAATGATCGATGACCATGGAAACAAGACAACCAGCCCATCCACCAAAGGGGAACAAGTATGTGAAAAAATGTGTTTTTGCTTATTTAGAAATGTTTTCATCTGTCATTTAAATGCTCAGCTGCATAATTGTGTTCAACTTTATGAGAGTCAAGGGCTATGCAAAAATTGTCATCTGAAATGTTTTATTTCTCTTTATGATTATGAATTTGCAGTACAGTGCAACGATCTTGGAGCTTGCACGCAAACAAAGAATGAACACTGACATCAGGAGAAACATTTTCTGTGTGCTTATGTCAAGTGAAGACTATTTGGATGCCTTTGAGAAACTTTTAAGGTTTGTCAGCATAGGTTCGGTTTCTTATCCTCATTGATTTTCAGTGACACTGGCCATGTTGCCATTTTGGGATACTTATCAATTGACACATTTAATTGCAAATTAGGTTTTGATCACAGTGTCATGTAATCCCAGAATCAATCTGAACCGGGGCACTTGTATTTACTTGTGAGAAAGAATTGTATAAAATGATTAAAAAAGAAACAGATTAACAGATCTGCCTTATTAGTAGGACACAGTTTCTTTTAGCAACAATAATATTGCAGATCTTCTGAAATGATAACCTTGTGTGATGATGGCAAATATTTTAGTTAAGGTTATCACACAAAGTTTTCTTTAAATTTCTTGCTAACAGACTGATTTCCTCCTGTGTATTTCAAACATGATGTTCTATGTTTCTAATATTTGTCATAAACCATTATTTACCCAATTCATGTCTTTCTCAGGTTAGGATTGAAAGACCAGCAAGAGCGGGAAATTGTTCACGTTCTGATGGACTGCTGTCTGCAAGAGAAAATGTTCAATAGATTCTATGCGGTTCTGGCAGAGACATTTAGCTCGCATGACCGGCGGTTCCAGGTAGAGTGGAAGAGCAGTGATTCCTAGCTCTCACTGTGTTAGAAGTGTGCTTGTGTCACTGGTTTCACTGCATTAGGAGCTGCTGTCTTGTTTGTATGTCTAACTTGTTTACACAAAACTGTTGCTCAAGCTAAGAAAATTCAGTATTTTGATCCAATAGTCAAATTAGCTAAAATGACTGTTGATATTATGATTTAATATTACTCTGTCGTGTGCAATATGATATAAGATCAGCTGTAAGATTTTAATAGTCAGATATAAGATAAGCTATACGCTTTGTAATATTCAAATCAATGAATACTGATAATAGTCAGTCCGTTTACATCTAATTCTGCAGCATATTCAATTAAATTATTAAATGTATGCATTTAGCTGACGCTTTTATCCAAAGCGACTTACAGTGCAT